ATCTGTTTGGAGTTCTTCAAGAATCCTAAAGTCCTACCATGTCTTCATACATTCTGTGAGCAATGTCTGGTGACTTTTAAAGCCAAATCTGAAGGTGTTTTGAAGTGTGCAACATGCAGAATTCAGTGTGACACACCTATTCAGGAACTAAAATCCAACTTCTTTTTAACAGCCTACTTGACACGTTCCAGAGACAGAGGCAGCTGAGTACAGACCATCCACTAATGTGTGAGATATGCAAAGAGAAGACAGCAACTCACAGGTGTGTAGACTGCCCCCAGTTTAGCTGTGATGTCTGTGTTAAAATGCATGAACACATTCCACTTCTCCAAGGTCACCAAGTACTAAATATTGACAAGTACAGAGAGATAGAATCTAAGGGTCATCTCACATTGCAGTCAAAAGTATTCTGCAGTGATCATGAAGACAGCCACTTAGAATTCTATTGTGACACATGTCAGGTGCCTGTATGCTTGAAATGCACCATAGTTAACCATAGAGGACCTGAACATGTCCATAGAGATTTGCAGGGGGTGGCAGAAGAATATAAAACACAAGTGAGGGAAATGTTAGAAAAGTTAAAAGTGAAAGAGAAGCAAGCGGATGAAGGAAAAGCTGCTGCTGAATCTGCAAGAGAAGAAATCAGAAACCAGTGTGAAGTAGAGAAAAAGAAAGTTAGAAGAAGAGCAAGGGAATTGATAGAAAGAGTAAAGAGAAAAGAGAAGATGCTGATAGATGACTTGGATGAACGTGCTATGAGTGGATTAAAAGAAGCAGCAATAAACATCGATCAGATAGAGTTTCACTATGGCAACATAGTCAGTACACATCATTACCCCCAAATACTGGTACATCATGGGAACGCTATTCATCTGCTGCCTACAAGGTTGGAAACTAATAAGCAAGTTATGCAAATCTTTGTCATGGAAACAAAACCACCAACCAATCAATCATGATATGAATGAGTTCCAGCCCAGGAGTGACCTTGGTGCAGAATCATTACTAGGAGTGGTCAAATCTGATGCATGTCCATTCAAATGTACAGTTCAAAACATCCCAAAACAACTCAAGATAGGTGAATCTGTCAACTTGATCATCACAACCAGAGACTTCAGAGGAAAACAGATCAAGATGTTCAGGTGAAGATAAGGAGATCTGATGCATCATGGGAAAATATTGACGTTACAGAAAATAGCAATGGGACACATCATGTGATGATAACAGGAAAGATAGAAGGAAAACAGCAAGTTGCCATGACGATTGGTAACCAACAAATACCAGGATCATCATTCCATATTCCTGTTATAAAAGGATTGGTACAGACAGTGGGAAAAGGACAGCTCAAGTCTCCACATGGACTCGCCATAAATAAACATGGTGACTTTGTAACAGCTGATAGGAGTATCCGAAGAGTTGTCATACATGACAGAGACGGACATTTCAAACAATCTTTTGAATTTACTGATCAGTTTGCAGAGCCATTCACACCAAGTGATGTAGCAATATCACATGATAATGAATACTTTATGACAGATGACAATAACAAACAAATAGTTGTGAGTGATGACAACGGGAAGTTGATTAGAAAGTTTGGAAGCTCCGAAATTGATGATTCACTTGGAATTGCAATCAATCCTGTTACTAACAATGTGTATGTGAGTGAGTATAGTAAAGGGTACATTAGGAAATATACACAGGGTGGGAGATATATCAACTCACTTGGAATACAGGGAGATAAACAGAGAGAGTTGAATAGACCTTGTATATTAGCTATTAACAGTAAAGGAATTGTGTATGTGGCAGATTCTTACAATCACTGTATTCAGGTATTTAATTCTGATGACCAGTTTATGTTTGAATTCTCTACCACCGGTGACAACAATACAATGAAGTATCCTAGGGGAGTAGCTATAGATAAGAATGATTATGTATATGTGAGTAGTCAGCATAAAGTCACTAAGTATGACGGCTATGGTCAGTTTATTTGTAGGATAGATTGTGATAAAGATGGACTGAGTAATCCCTGTGGTGTAGCAGTGTGTAATGATGGTAAAATAGCTGTAGTGGATTTTGACAATAAGTGCATAAAATTCTTTGTAGAGTGAAGCTAATTTCACCAAATTAGAATATAACAATCACAAAACAAAGAAGACATAATTTTCCATGTGAAGGGTGGATAAAAGTAAGGGCAGGCAACTGAGACTCTAACCATACACTGTTATGGGAAACACCAATCACATTGAACTTGTATGTGATGTCATCTTTCATACAGTACTGTACAATACTATATTGTCACATGTTTGCAAAATTAACCAATGGAAATGGTTTGCATGTAATAAATCAATGAAAATGAGTTATATATCTTGACTCGTATTGTATGTTTGCAGCAAAAATTAATTTCAGCTACAAAAAAGTAGAATCTGGAAATACCGGTAATAAATAAGTACAGAGAGTAGAGATCGGGATAGAGATAGGGGTCATCTCAATCTGATTAAAATCTGATGTAGTGTACGGGCTTTAATTATTTTGGCTATAAACTTATTTTAATTTTATTTTTTATTACTTTTGTTATTAATGCCCTTTTATTTTATTATTTTACTTTGATTTTGATTTTGTGATTTTTTTTAATTCCGCCCTACCTACATCTGAACCGATGCCTATGTAACGAGATTTCAACGAGACCCACTATCGACGATTTTAGTCAACGAATCACAAACCTCCTTCTATAGCGCACATGATGACGTCACCGGGCAGAGCCTGGTGGCCAATACACAAATAAAATGGCGGATTATACCGACCGAGAAAAACACGGCTTTTCGGTAAGTTTATCATTGTCAAATGCAACGAAAGTCATTTTTATGTTAATATTGTGGCTCGAATGGTTCGACTTTAGATCGTTTTTTTTTGCATAGTTATTCTGGGAG